GATATGTTACAAATGAAAAAAAAAAGTTGAATTATCTTTTTATATGTGATATACATATATATGATCCTATTTTTTTCTGTTTATGTATCTCAAATGAAAAACAAATAGAAAACGCTCAGAAAAATTATCAGAAATCAGAATATACTAAAGCAAGCAAACATTTGCAAGTTTCGCTGATAGTGTTTATGTATGCAACAAACAAATCAAATATTAGCGTAATCCAGCTTAAAACCGTGTTATGTATAGTTCTACATGTATATAATAAGGATCCTTCATCTTTATCATAAATCGGATTAGTATAAAAATTTGAAACTTGATCTTTGTACTTCTTGCCTGTATTGTTTGCTTGTCATGTTCAAATGAACTAAATAAACTAAATCACGATTTCTTACACTACAAAATACTAATAATTTGTCAATATGATCGTACATACATGTAGTAGTAGAATAGCATCGCTAACCCATTTAAAATATATTTAATTACTAGAGGTAAAATTCACACTATATTAAGCTCCATTTAAACTCTTCAGGAATTTAAACAAAAATCAAGTACCCGATTAATTGGGTTTTTTTCTCTCTAGACCCTTTTATAGTTTAGTGTAGTAAGTAAAAACATAGATACATATTGACTCTTATTATATAGTCTGATTTTTTTTTTCAATATTTGACAAACTTATACTGATACGAATGTTAAATGGTTTTTATAAGAGGGAATGACATTAATTGTTAAACAAACATGTACGCAACATGACACTTCCTGATTCATCTTATCTTCAAGGATTAAGTTGATAAGGGGATAGAAGGAATTAAAGATAGATTTCAGCAAAAAACAAAAAAAAAAAAAAAACAACAACAACAAAATAACAAAAAAAAAAAGATTAAAATGATGAATATGATATGGAAATAATGGAATTTAATTTAATTTCAATACAGGAAAATAAAAGAAGTAGAACTCTCTATATCGCATTACTGTTAAAAATGTCTCGCATATATTGATTTCATACATGTACATACACACACACACACACACACACACAGAGAGAGAGAGAGAGAGAGAGAGAGAGAGAGAGAGAGAGAGAGAGGAGTTAATATTTATCAAATTGACAGGTTAACACAGGACCTTGTAAAAAATTTAAAAAATAATAAAAAAAAAATGGTTTATATCTTTTTCGAATTTAAAAAAAAAATTATTTGCTAATAATACTTCCTTCGGCAAAAGGAATATGAAGTGCTATCGATACGTTATTTTCTATTTAATGAGCAATCTATATTTCTCAATTTGCATCTTGCTTACATTTAGTGAATTGTGTAATCTTAACAAATTGTGTTTTCAGATAGAAATAGCAATATTAACATTAGAGTAAAAGCGTGAATTCCCGCACTCAGATTATCGACATTTTACATATTGACGGCCAAATACAATTTCCCCGCAATCTTTATGCCCCCCCCCCACTTGTCTCACCCTTGTTTTAATTTTAAAAAAAAGTTGCTGTTGGCCTGTCATATATGTAAATGGGGGTCGTGGGATGGGTGGGTCCCCCCCATTGAATTTGCAGAGGAATGAAATGTATATACATGTACTAAACAAAAGTCATTTGAAGGAAGCATGTACACCCCCCCCCCCCACTTTGGGGAAAGAATTTACGTTTTTTTGCTTGTCAATAAATTGACTTGGGTGAACCCCGCTGGAAAAAAAATTCTCCATCCCCGCATCAACTTATTGTTTAAGTTCTTTCTGATTCAATTAAAGGTTAAACTGGTGTTTTGGTTGAAATTAGAATCCTCAATTAATTAAAGTAAACAGTTTAATCGAACATCTCAGTTCAGCCCCTACGATTTTATCTGATTTCCTGTTTACACTAGAAAGAGAGTGTATATAGAAAATGTCTTTAAGAATGCAATTTTGTTGTAACAAGCGAGTTCTCCTTTCTCTTATTGACTTTCTTCATACAAAGTTTGAAAAAACTGATAAGAGTGAGTCGAAAAAAGTTATTCACTCTGTTCCGTTTATCTGCACTTTGTTGTTATTAAAAAAATACAGTGTATGTTTAAATTTAAAAATCCCATAATTATATAGTTCTGAAATATTTGCTTCCATATATATATATATGGAATAGTTCCTAACAAATTTTACCTGATAATAAGATGTATAAATTGTCTTACTGCATTGGTGCAGAAGTATTTATTGTAGGAAAATCATGCGTGCGGATAGATTTCGTAAATGAAATTACGAAGCAAATTATGATTCTCTTTATGAAGCTGTTTTTTGATATAGAGTTTTACAACAGTAAAAAAAAATAATAGATTATATTCACAATATAACCCACAGGAGCGTAGCAACGTGGGGGGGGGGGAGGGGGCTGACCCTCCCCCAACTTTTTTCCCAACCTTACTTATACTATAGGAAATTTTAATAGGAAGCCTGGGTGCCCCCCACCTTTCAGTGATGTACCGAAAATGGAGTATTAGAATTGGTACTGAAAGTAGTTGACACTGACAAAAAGTTACCCCCCCCCCCCCACGGAATAGAATGTTCGTCAAATTTTTCCCCGTTTTTTTTTTATTTTGCTTGTCAACTTTTTCAGGTAAGGAAAAAAATTTTCTCTGGCTGCCCCCCCCCCACACTTTCAAAAACGATGCTACGCGCCTGACCCATACAGCAGATCTTTATACATACATGTACATGTGGCATTTACATGTGATAATAGCATAATTTTTTTAAAAAATAATTTTCACTGTAATTTAGAATCTTTAAGGGTCTAAATGTGAGTGAGACCCAAATCACACGCTTTATGTTTTGAAACGATTTATAAATATATTAAAACAATTCTTTTTACGTGAATTATTACACTTCTGGGCTTTTATTACGTAAATTGATATCTTAAACCAATGGGGATGTGGGGCGGGGCGTGTAACAACAGCGCCCCGCATGGAAGTCTTCAGTAAGTACATAAGTATTTATTTTAAGTTCTTCTTATCTTCGAAACACTCAAATAGAAAATAGAGATTGATACATGTAACAACGGACTTTCAAATTACTATCGGAATGATGACAGATTTTTGGGATATCGTGTACGATATAGAGGAAAGGGACTTGTGCCTTGTTTTTAAAGATGGCGAAAACTGGAAAAATGAAGGGAAAATAAAAGAGATAAAGACAACAAACGAAGTCGGTGTCGTTATGGTAAGATTTGAAATCTTTTTATAGTTTCTTCATATCAATAATTCTTCTCGAATCTTGTAGATGATAACGGTTTTATGTCTATGTCGGTAAAAAGCTCTACAGAGCTTAAGTTACTTTTTTTAAAATCCGACTTTGAGTAAAATTTTCTTATTTAAATACATGTATGTGCAAGAATGAATTTGAAAATCAGGTTTGAAATTTCGGAATGTGGTCTGTTTAAGCAATATTTTCATCAAACTTATAACTTGGTTTTAATAATGCTTTGATTGTACTGAGGTAATTGTTGGTGATTGTATTGCAGGTTGCTTTATTCACTGGTCATCGGAAGTGTCGATTAGACAGCTTAAATCAGAACAACCCAAAGTTCAGAGGGACATCAAAATCCAGAACCAAATTTTTAGAAGCGTGGAAAAAATTTGTTGCAGGTAAGCCAACAATTTTCAAATATCTTCGGTTAGAATAAAATAAGGTAGATTTTTATGATCTTGGTTTCTATTTGACCCAAAAAAGGAATGCTGTAAGAAGGAGGTGGTGTAAAGTACAGTTGTGGATAGTTGAATATAATTAAAGTTTTGTTTCTTTTTTAATGAAGAGCATCCTGAAAGGCAACAGATTCCTAGAAGAGCAGATGTGAGCGGAGAAACACCTTGTGAAAAAAATGTGAATCAAGCAGAGCCACCTAGTGAAGGTAAATTTTGAGAAAAATATAATTCTCGCCCTTTCCCAGTTTTTCCTTCTTCCATGTTTCGCTGTAAAGTATTTTTTTTACCCTTTCCAATAATTGCATGTATGTATTTGATTTCAGAAAACCCAACCTTTTTTTTATATCATTATTATTGATTTATTATGTATTGAAATAAATACGCTGATATTCTTAATGCATCTTGATCTTGGATTCTGTCCTAACTATTCGAGAACATGCATGGGTATGCTAAACATTCGAACAAGCGCTAGCCTGATATTTGAGCCCGATGTTATTATTTTCACATTAACCATTCCATAACAAAACAACAGATATGAAATACCGATCAGGGTCAACGTGTATCAAATATTCTTATTTAAACTATATTTAATGCCATGATTCTCTTAGCCTTTAGAATTTAAGATAATAGATATGTATATACTAATAACGTACAGACGTTTGATTAATTCTTATATACAAAATATACATACACGTACGTAAAGTAAATGAAAATATTTTAGCACATTTGGTTATTTTATTCATTCTTTTAAATTAAATTTTCTAAATTTTCTTAATGTCCAACAAATACTCATAGCTTGATGCTTAGATTTTTATATGCTGTTACTATTTGGGTCGGCTTGCAGGGATTTTTGAGTGATTGTTTAAATTTAGGAAATATAAAGAGTGAAAACGTTTACATGGTACCTAATTTTATTTAAGTTAAGTTTTTATGCGCCCGAATCTATAGATCCGGGGCGTATATTTTTTGTCCTGTCTGCCTGTCTGCTAAGCTGTTTATCTGTTTGTCTGCAAACTACCACGTTCGTCATAACTAATAAACCATGAAAGATAGAGACTTCATATTTGGTATACCTACTCCAATAATTATGCTCTTTCAAATAACACAAAGGTCAATGACCTTGTGACCTTGACTGTGACCTATATATAAAAATACCTTCATTGAACCTTCACCATAAATTTTGAAGCATGAGAGATAGAGACTTCATATATGATATGTATACTCAACTAATTAATTTCTTTCAAATGACACCGAAGTCATTGACCTTCTGACCTTTACTGTGAACTGTATGCTTATAATAGCTTGTTCGTATACCTTCGCCATAATTTTTGAACCATGAAAGATAGAGATTTAATATTTGGTATGTAGACTCCACTAATTGAGCTCTTTAATATTAATGATACCACGGTCAATGACCTTGTAACCTTGACTATGACTAATATGCTAAAAATATCTTTTTCCGAACTTTGTTGCCACCGGTGCAAAGTGTTTCACAAACACACCTTTATTTTTAAAGACTAAATATGTGTCCAATGTACGAATACTGTGTAGTAATATACTACGCATACATGTACACATGTATGGTCAAGCCTGTTAGGCGGAACAAATCTTCCCATCAGAAGTTTATTTAGCATTGACCTAGAATACTCCCGAACACACCCACCTGTTCTCACTTACTGCAGCTACATTTATTTGCATGGTGTGAATTGTTGACCTATTTACTTTATAAACTGGCCGATGCAGGAAACTAGTAAGTTGTGTAAATACATCTACGTAGGTAAGCTGATCTTAAACAATATGTTAAAACCAAGGCTTGTTTTTTATTACTTGAGGTTTTTTTAAGTGGGTTATTTTACGTTTAATTATTAATTTTTCAATGTTATTTTTTTCTCCCAATCTAACAAGATCTTCCCTTTTGCTTTGATTTTATTTCACTTTTAGTATTTCACTTTTTGTTTGTTTTGAATAAAACTCTGATACCCCCATAGTAAGATTTATGATAACTTAAATTAAAAAAAATTACCGAGAGGATTTTTTTAAAGGATTCACTTGACAGGTGGAAAATATTTATTCACACTTTTGGGGATGGGGAAAAAATTGAGACCCGTTCAAAGTTCAACAGTTCTATTTGGATCCCTATTAAAATGTGTTCTTTTATCACGTTATTTAATCTTATTTGCGTATTTAAAATCCCTAATCTTAAAAAAAATATATTTTAAAGATTGAAGCCCATTTAACCAAACCTGGAGACTTGATGTTCAATTTTTTTGCAATCAAAACTAACTCTCTACATCCATTAAATATTTCTCTTTTATTTCTTGAAACCCATTGCCGTTAATCAGTGCATGAACACTGAAAAAAAATAACTAGTGAAAGTCACTGGGAAGACTAGTAAATTTACTGTCCATACAATCACTATCTCAAAAGTAGTTTTACTAGGTATTGGGTATATTTACTACTAATATTAGTAAATCTAAGAATTCATTAACTTTCATTAGGTATTTTAGTATCTTTACGACCACTGCTCCACTTTTGACTATCTTAACTAGTAAACAGAGTGATTACTGATTACGTATTACACTTTACTAGGAACACTAGTTAAAACAACTAGGTAATTCTCTCAGTGAACAACACTGATCGAGCAAGCCAAGTGTGCATTTTTTTAACAATGGTTGTTCCATCAGTTCTACATATAGTGACACATTCATCTTAAAACAATAGTTGATAGATTAAATTTTACTTTAAATGTTTTTTAATACAGATGTAAAAATAACAATAAAATGCCCTCTTTCTGTTTTTTATAGTACGTCGCAGCAATTGCAGCAAATTATACATAACCCCAGTTGTATAAAAAGCCTCAATAAACTTGAGCGAGTCGACTCTCAAGACTTTTTATAAAAGCACTGTAGTATACTAGTATTTATATATTTACATAAGTCTCTTTTAATGAAAATTAAAATATTTTAATTATTATTTTTTTATAGAGTTTACCAGTCATTGTACGAAGATATCAAGTGATACTGAATCAGAAATAGAGAGAAAACTTATTGGTGAGTATAATAGAAAAAAAAAACATGCGCATTATTTCCAAATGTTAATTAGTTTTCCAAAGTTGTGTCCTTATCAACCTGGTATGGAAATAAGATTATACAGTTGTAGTTTAATGTCTTTATTTGAATATGTCCTGTGGCAACGTACATTGTACTTTGAAAAACCCCAAAATGAATAAATATCATTTCTAAATTAATGCGCTTTGGAAAAAGAAAAGTCAAAGTGCGTTTCAGATCAACTCAAGTATTTTGAACTTTATTTTCCAATGGTGTTGAAAGAGTGCAGTAATCCGATCTGTGCTACATTTAATGTCCACACTGTCTCTTTGTGCTGTTGCACACTTATTTTAACATCTAGACCATTCAAATAAATCACACATAACAATCAACTATAGGATAAGGATTTTTTGTATATATATTTTTTAATTATCAAATTTTTTATCAACTTTTAATAACCCTTGGTAATGCATGTCGGCTTTTTTTGTACTAGAATTATCTGATGGCACTATAATCTTAAATGATCAGTAGGTATTTGGTTATTTCCCACTTAGCCAACATTTCCAACATGAAAACATTTTGAAAAATCCTATTCCCACATGGCCAACATTTTTGATTTGATTTGAACATATTTTATTGCTTATACTTTACAATTGGGATTGGGCAAAAGTTCTAAAAACTTATTACGCCCTCTCCCTACATATGCATTATATCAAACATATTTACATACATGGGTTTCAGCTTAAAATGAAATAACAATAATAATAATATAATAATAATATATGATAATCAGAGTAAAACACATTCAATAGAATACATTTCATATGTAATAGACATGCTGTATAAGATTTACAATTAGAAATAATTATTGTATCAACCAAATCGTCCTGACTTTTTAATAAAAGTTTGTACAATAGAAAATAAATATTCATTTTCAAAATCATTTAACGATTTGTCTCCCCAGAGTAAAGTGTGAGTATCGACAGTGTGTAATTTACCCATTCGCAAAAATTTGTCAAAAAATTCTTTCCTGGCTTCTGTATATTTTTTGCATGAGAAGAAATAATGATGAGTATCCTCCACTCTTCCACAAGAACATAGTGGACTCAAAATTACATTACATCGAAATAGATCGCTATTAAGAACACAGTTATGTCTAAGCCTCGTGTGTATTATATTTAAGCGTCGAGTTCCATAACTGAAGTAAGAGGGTGGCATTTGTTTATTGTAAGAAATAGACTTTTTAAAAATAGATAACGAGGGAGAATTTCTTACATTAAGAGGTAATGAGTTCCATTCTTCAATAACAAGGGGAACGAAAGTTGATTTGTAAGCTTGCAATCTGCATTTGGGTATGTTATAGTTCTGCGAGTTTCTCGTACTGTAACTTGATGAATTACATCGTAAGTTTGGGATTATATCAGTTAGATATTCAGGAACTTGGTTTTTATCAATTTTATACATTGTAGTTAGTCTAGTCTTTTTCCTTCTTTCATGTAATGGTTCCCATCCAGTTTCAATGTAAAGTGCATCTTTAGAAGCTAACAGAGTTAATCCTGTGACAATTCTAGCAGCACATAATTGTAATTTTTCTAATTTTTCGCTATCACCTATATTACATCCACCCCACACCAAGGAAGCGTATTCTAACTGTGGCCTAATAAAGGTTGTGTACATGAGTGAAAGAGTTTATCGATTGACTACAAATTTAAGTTTTTTTAACAAGCCCAATTTTTTATATGCATTAGCTAGAATAGTATCAATATGTGTAGACCAACTAAGATCTTGCGAGAAAAAAATTCCTAAATGTTTATGAGAAGAAACAAATTCTAGCTGACTTTGCTGGAAGAAGAGTTTAGGATAATTAACACTTTTTTTCAGGCTAAAAAATATTGCTTTAGTTTTAGTAGGATTGAATTTAAGAAGCCATTTTTTCGACCAAATTTCTAGCCTTTTAAGATCAGAATTCAGTTTGTTTTCAATAGTATTAACATTTTTAGATGACTGTTGTAGGGAGTTATCGTCTGCGAATAATCTACAAAAACTTGTCATTTCTTCAGCAACATCATTAACATATATAAGAAATAATAGAGGTCCTAACACTGAGCCTTGAGGGACACCGGCGTGTATAGGTTTTTCGTCAGATAGCAAGTTTCTGTATAATACTCTTTGTGATCTACCTTCTATGTAACTCTTTAACCAATGAAACATATTTCCCTCTATACCATAAGTTCTGAGTTTGAACAAGAGACCCTTGTGCCACACACGATCAAATGCTTTAGAAAGATCACAGAATATCATACAACAATTTTCACCATCATCGATAGCTTTAACAATAGTATCATATGTTTCTATTAGTTGATATACAGTGGAATGACCTGGTAAAAATCCAGCCTGGTATTTATAAAAAAGATTGTTGTCACGAAAGTGATTATACAAGTGTTTGAATATGATTCGTTCCATTATTTTACCAATACAACTTAACAGTGACACAGGTCTATAATTAGACATAACAGATGGATCATCTTTTTTAAATAATGGGAGAACATTAGCAACTTTCCATTTGCAAGGAAAAATACATTCAACTAATGACCTATTAAACAATAAACATAATGGTTTTACAATAGTGTACATGGTGGATTTCAACATCTTGTGACTAATATTGTCTGGACCTATTGCTTTGTTAACAGGAAGAATTGAAATAATATCTATAATCTCTTGTTCCAATACAGACTGTATCAAATGGGTTATTGCACACAGAAAAGAAATTAGGTAAAATGGCGTCGTTTTCGTCAATACAAGTGATAGAAGCAAAATAATCATTCAAAACATCTATTTTCTCTTCATTTGTAAAAGCCACACATTCATCACCATTAACAGAGGTATACTGTAGAGGAGGAATATCGGTAGTAGATTTTACTTTAAATATATCTCTCAATAACTTCCAGTAAAGTTTGGAATTATTTTTACTTGCGTCTGTAATATGATGCTCTATGTTATTATGATAGTTTTCAATGGCGATTTTTTTCATATTGTTAAACTTGTTCCTGCATTTCTTATATTTTTCCCAGTCAGAATTTCTTTTTGTCCTCTGGGCCCTACTAAATAATCTATTCTTATTTCTATGTGTTTTACGCAGAGCCGAATCAAACCAGGGTTTATCTTTCGGACGAATTACAACCGATTTTTCAGGTATACATTCCTTTACTATATTCAAAAATGTTGATGTAAAATTGTTCGTTGCTTGATCTATATCAGGTGCCTCACTTATAAGGGTATTCCAATCAGTATTTTCAATGAGAGAATTCAATTTATCCATATCTGCGTGCTTATATAACCAAACCTTTCTTTCGTATGATTGATTTTGAATAACATCTGATTTAACAAAAACATATGTTCCTTTATGGTCACTTATAAAATTATCAACATGAACAGTTCCAGAGTGAAGCACCTTGATGTCTGAGCTGACCAGAATTGGGTCAATAAGCGTGCTCGAACTACTCGTGACTCTCGTTGCTTCATTGACAATATTGATAAGGCTATATTGAGACAAAATTTCGTTAACAATGTGAGTGCGTGGAATATCTAAAAAATCTACATTTAAGTCTCCAAGGATTATTATCTTATTGGATATATCAGAAACTTTTTCAATGGACCACATTATGTTTTTCCAAAAGGATTTATCAGAATTCGGAGGCCGATATAGACAGCAAAGGTAAATATTACTTATAGGGTCACTAACTTCTATCCATATACATTCCGTGTTCAAAGGTTCAAGGTCAGTGCGTCTTAAGGCTCGAAGTGAATCGGATACATAAATTAGGGTACCGCCTCCATATGAGTTACGATCTTTGCGAAAAATTGTAGAAAACCCCTCAATCGAAATAGCATTATCATCAATATTTGCATCTAAATGTGTTTCAGTAAAACACAAAATGTGATAATCACTGACAAATGATATTAAATTTTCAATTTTGTTTCTTATACTTCTTATGTTTATATGAAAAATATCTAAAGTATGGAAAGAGTTATTTGTAGGCCCAGGATTTGATTCAATATCACCAGACAGCATTAATAATATACTCGTAAGTTGAAAAAGAAAATTGACATGCTGAAAATATACTGCATGTTTCATACAAACTTTGAATTTTTGTTTACAAACTTGGTAAGCTTTCCACAAAAGCCAAACTAAATATACAAATCTGAAAAAACAGTAATTCATGGATTTGAATGTGCCTCTATCTCGGAGGTAAAAAATTCCAATTGCGGCTCGATATTGTTCAAGAGTATTACCCATGATCGGTAATAACTAATGTTTTGGGTTGGTAAAAAATAGGAAAATAAAGCCGCAAAGAACAGCAAAGTTGAATATTGCAAACATAAAGACCTTGATATTGTCTAGAAAAACTGAAACCCATTGCAGATGTAATCATAATAAAAAACAAACAGTAAACAGAATATAATGAACTAAAGCTTGTTACAAGAACAAGTACTTGCAGGTCAGTCAAAGCAAACATATAAACAAGACTGACAGTGATTGTAAATAAACAAAGCATGCATAACAGCATTGTTCTGAGAACAAAACAATACACAGGTATTGGAGAGTATGGAAAATTTATATTATCATGTTTAAAACATGTCTATAACGTTATAAATGCAGAACTCACTTTTACCATGTGACACAGATCTACTAAAGGCACATGTTTGATGCATTTATTCAATTAGTTCATACAGGTCATCCAGCGATGTTATTTGAATTCTGTCGCCTTCTTTTTCGGTTTTAATATAGACTCTACCGTCATATGTCCAGAAACTGTGCAGTTTGTTTGCTTTTTTTGCTTCTATAATTTTTTTAACCACAAATTGTCTGTACTTAGTTAAGATTTTTATATCCCCTGCAAACAAAGTTTGGGAGGGGGGGGGGGGGTATATAGGAATCACCTTCTCCGTCTGTCCGTCCGTGCACAAATTTTTCGAAGTACATTAATGATACCTTATTACTGATATTTACATTTGTGACATCCATACTTTTCATTTGCCTGATTGTGACTTTTAACGTGTGAAACGCATTGTTTTTCAAACCAAACGAGATGTATTTAATCTATTGAACGCTCATACTCCCTTTATGACCTCACTGAAAAAAGCATGGTATGGAGAAAAAAAAGTTAGGTATGGATATATTTTTTATTAAAAGAAAAATAAGTAAGTCAGGTGTCTGTGGCTTATCCATACGCACATCTATGACTTCTTGACCCCTTACCGGTATTTACGCATTGCTTTCAGTATAGAGTTAAAAAAGGAAAACATTTGCAAATGTTAATATTTCGCTTTAGCTGTCTTGTGAACGCATTTTTTCCCGCATTATTTTAATTTGCATTCGCGTTAATTTACTGTGAATTAAACACTTTGTGTGAAGAGGGCATTAAAATGATGTCTTCTAAGATATTTTAAACTAACGTACGTCGTGTAACATTAATTTCTTTTTTGTTTAAATTTCTATAGCACCCCTACTAATCTTATTGTGATTTAAATTCAAGACACGTGATTAAGGTTGATCTAAAATTTATAGGATCAAACCGGTTTTATAAATAAAATAGGCAGTAAACATGATATTGCTAAAGCCTGTTTCTTTTGAAAACATGTCTTGTAATAAATGTCTTCAGACCTTTCTGAAAGACTTTCATGATTTTCAACATGTTCAAAAGAAAAAAAAGATGGCTAAAGGAGGGGTTTTAAAATAATAATTTATCTTATCTTTTCGGGCGAAAATTAAAGCTCACTAGTGACCGATTCGCTGGTAAAAAATGTGCATTATCATCTACACTGTCAAACCTTTGTTTGCCTTATATGGCTATTGTTATAAATTCGCAGAGAGGATCTTACAACGAACAACTGACCAATCGTTGATTGATTGATTGATTGTTTACTGTTTAACGTCCCTCTCCAGAGTATTTCACTGATATGGAGACGTCCCCATTGCCGGTGAAGGGCTGCAAATTTAGGCATATGCTCGGCACTCAGGGCCTAAGAGCAGGGAGGGATTTTTATCGTGCCACACCTGCTGCGACACGGGGCCTCGGTTTATACGGTCTCATCCGAAGGACCGCCCCATTTAGTCGCCTTTTACGACAAGCATGGGGGTACGCCGTATATTTAACAAATGAATTCTTTGTCATTATGAGCATGAAAACAATATTTTTAAAAATGCTTTTCATTTACCATCAGATTTACCTTTTTTTCAAGCGTAAAATTCCTGTAGTATTCGTAGTAACCCATAATGCAATACTCATACTGCTGATTGGTAGTTAAAATCATGCTGGTGCCTCATTTGCTAATCTGACGCCAAAAAATAAAGTCCCGGTTCCCATGCAAAAATGCTTGTCCAAAAAGAAATTTTAATTCATGACTGTAGATAATTGTATTATAGAGAATACTTATTTAAGTTTGAATAAAAATTTAATGTAAAAGAGATCGATTGATTGAAGTACATTTCTACAGACATCAGCTGATTCTAGGGTGGTGAAAACTGAAACGCGAAACATAACTATTCTGTTTACCATGCCTCCATGTGCTAGTCACTTCCTAACCAGATTTTTGTGAATAAATTACCCTATCTCGCTGAAGTCTCGCTAACTCTCGTCAGAGCCACTGCCAGAGCTACTTTGAACTCATCGGGTTTGATAATTTGCAGAGCACCGAAAAATAAAAGGTTCCGAACACATAAGTAGGGGTGTATAGGTCTTATCTTACTTTATCATGTACAGATTATAGAGGTAGAAGTTTCACATTGGATGAAAAAATGTTAAATTTCTGCTTATTTAAATTGCTATCTGTCTTCATCAGTGTTGTACTATTTTTACAGGTCGTTGCGTTGAGGTCAATGTGAAGAACCTTGTGGCACCGCACCCACTGAGATGCTTGAGGAGTATAGATAGAAAGCATGTCGAGAGTTTGAAAGAATCATTCAAAACAAGACCAGAAAACAGTGTTATTTTTTTCGGGATTGTCTTTGGAGAAAATATCGATTTGAACGACTTGAACAAGATTGGTTCATTCCAAATTGAAACAATCGGTGGTAACCACTCAAGAATTGCTCTCCAGGAGCTGTTTGATGAAGGGCTCCTGAAGGAACCAACTATCCATGTAAAGCTCTACAAGAATTTAACGGACACTGAGGCACTAAAGCTTGGGTTTGACCACAATGTGTCGCATGAACTTGCAAAACCCACATCGGCTGAGGAATTATTATTTCTTTTTAGACGAGAACTTCAGAAAAAAGTGACTGAAGAAGAAATGTCTTCACCTCAAGCCTCTAAATTGAAGATGTGGAAGGAGACTTGCGCCTCAATACTTGGCATATCCAAGACAAAGCTTCACAATGTCTATCATTGCATGCTGTCTTTGTGCTTATCCTCAAAGAATGGCTGGAAGCACATTGAAGATTTTGTGTCGTCCTGGCATTCACGAAACCTTAAAAAAATACCAAAAGGGGAAATTAAGAAGACACATTTCACAAAAATGAGTGGGCCAACAGAGGAAGAGAGAAATTCCTTGCTTGTCAAGTTGATGGAGGGCGAAATTGACTGGGTAGAGTTTAACAGGAGCTGTGCATCCAAAAAGTAAGCATCGCCTTATGTATTAAGATGAATTTGACGTGTGTTTGATATGTACATACATTTGAAAAAGAAATTTTGATGTTGGTAAATATTTCAAAGGCATTTAACATGTGTTTAATAAGTCTAAACACGAAGATAATGCTTAATACAAGTTTAATAAAACACCTTATCAAAAATCATTTCGTAATCAAGGTAATACTTGCAAACATCAAAGAAAAGTTTTATTAGTTTTACATTTCTTTTTTATTTAACACTTGCATGCAGTTTACTTTACTGTAATTGAATTTTACAAGATAATCATTATTATTCATTGAAAGGTAATTCTTGAAAATGTTGGGTTAAACAGATTGGTACGAACTCTTTCATTATTATCATGATTTCATTTCAAAATGTGTTGAATTTTTCTTTATTTTATCAATAAAGAGTTCTTGACATGCTTAAGAATGATAACAACTAAATGCACGGAACAGTCCATATACAACCTTAAGAATTAATTAAATAATTCGATAACTTTCAATTTTTCACAGAAAGTCATCTAAAGCGAAAACAAGGACGGTGGAAGGTGAAAAAGCCCAAACGCCATCTCCAAAAGAAGGAACCCCTATGTCAGAGCAAAGTGAAACGGAGGATGTTCATCCTAACCAAGAAAAAGTGCTAGAAAACAAAATCAAGGTCCAACAACAGACAGAAGAAAGATTGAGAAAAGAAATATTGGACCTTGAAAATGTCATTCAGCTTCAAGCTGCTGACATAAAGAAACTTGAAGTAAGATATTTTCTTGTTTTTGAAAGGAAAATCAATAAATCAAAATTCACTTAATCTTTAATAGACATTTTTCAAATTGACCAAATTGCTTATTCCGTTAAATTTTTATAGTATCGATCTAGATCTAGATCTAGAGCCTGAAGGAAATCTAGCTGACGTCCGATTAAAGACCCTAATAAAATTTACGCGACCGAATAGGTCAGCAGATACATCTATAAAAGAAAATAACAATGGCGATACATCAGTTTCTTTGAAAATTTATTTTCAAAATAAATGAAATCTTGAAATTAAAATTGCGTCAATTGTAAATACTATTAATTTTGTTACAAATTAAGATATTTTGTTAATTTTGTTTATTTTCTCAAAAGAAAAACATGATCATACCTGTTGCGATTTAATTTTAAGAGAAAAATGCGTCTAATGACATGGACACCATTTCGGAAGAATTATAACACTTAACAAAAACTTAATCAATAGGCCATGACACAGTTTAAAACATAAAAAAACAAGATAAACACGATTACAAGATAATTAAAAGATTTGAGTCTTGTTAAAATATAAACATTAACTTTTCAATATTATAAACAATATAAATATTCTATCATGAGCTTAACTTTTACTGTTTTTCTTCATTTACACCAGTTCGCATTATTCTGTTTACCAAACCCGATCATAATTCGATCGTGGTCATAGTTGTAGTGCAGATGTACTAAAGCAATGTTTAGACATCAACATTATAAGAGTTATATTGTAAATAAATCCTTCATAGTTTTTCCAAGGGACTAAAAAGAGTGATAGTTTGACGGTGAATAGACAATTTCATCCCTTCAGACTGTAATTGTGACATTTTGTTTAATACATGCACTACAAGTTTTATTTGTTACCTAGTTACTAAGTTACCTTTTGCTATATCAATTATTCAAAAAGATCTCTGGAATTTATTTTTATTTTCGATGCCATTGGACATGTTGAAGCCTCTCAAGCTGTTGATTTTTTTTTAATTTTATAAATGGGGACTTTCAAATAATAAATGTCTGACAATTTGTTATAATAAAACTTTCCTGCAATGTCATTATTCAAAATAATCTTCAACTATTTATGATGAATAAATAAATTGGTTTTAATTTCTGATGCATATTCACTTTATACAGATATCTGAGAGGAAAGTAAATTATGCAGAAGATGAAATCAAAGAGCTTTTGAGAGAAAACAAAATGCAGTCGGAAAAGATTAAAAGCCTTACCAACGAAATTCTAGATCTGAAGGTATATTTAAAAAGTGAATGCAAATCAATATGTTTTATTTGTTGAAATTGTAATAAAAATGTGTCCTACCATTGTGCCAATTCTTAAAAGACACTTTCGATTTGATTTTAGAATATCAGAAAAGTCAAGCAGGAACTGGAAGATCAAAATCGTCAACTCATTAAAGAAAATGAAGAATTAAAAGAACAACTAAATTCTGTTCAGGTAAATTCACTACTATAAAAATAGCAAAAGCCTGCTCCAGAACAATATTTACATATTTATTGATATTGACATTCTGCACATTATGTCAAAATACTGATCTGTAGACAACCTGCAATGGGTAATTTTTACTCAAAATATAAATGTAAAATACACCTTTTCCTGTAGAAATCAGAGAAAATGTAAATAAAGGATGGCGTTTACTCAGATTTCAGAAGTCAGACATGAATTTTATAAACTACGATATGTTAAATCAAAAATTTTTCTAAATTGATGCAAAAAAGAAGATTTAACTCAAAATCAATTTTAAAAATCTCATAACTTATTTTTTGAAAAAAAAAAATATACAAGAACAAAAGTCAATATATGGTGATGCAGAGGAAATTTGACAGAATTTTTTAATTCCTAATTTTGTAAAAACAAATTATTTCTTGTAATATTTATCACAGTATAAAAGTAAAATATTTTTTAAAATACGCCAAATGTAATAGTTATAGCAAAAATTGCGTTTGCTTGAGTGATTGTATAAACATAGGATGTAAAAACTGTATAAAATTTCATACTGTTACATTATTTATGTCTTCATGCTTTTAAAGAAATTTTTGATTAAATATCTGTAAGATGTACAATTACGGATACTGCCTATATATATTTGCTCAAGCCTGTTAGGCGGATCTAATCTTCCCATCTGAAGTTTATTTATAATTGACCTAGAATACTCCCTAACACAAACACCTGCTGTTCTCATTAGCTGCAGCTAGTATGCTTGAAAAATTTATTTTTAGAATCCAGATTTGCTGTGGGAATCTTTAAACTAATTACTCCATAACACCGACCACTGCAGCTAGTGTATTTAAACTCATTATAGAATCCAGGTTTGCAGTGCTGCTTTTCACAGTAATATTTATGGAAGCCCATTAGTGCCAACCTGTATATATAAAGGAAAAGCAATATACACTTTATTTTTTAACCGAACATTGAGACTTATAATATTCAATCGCTTAAGATGCAAAATAAACTGAATATAAGGTATGGTGTCCAGATGTATGAAAAAGCTAAATTAACACTAGCGAGTCAACTCGCAGGCCCTTCAGGCCTTCGATATATGGTTTTTCAAAAATGATCACAATCGCAACAAATATTTTATTAAAAATCGTCTGCAAATAAGCCGACCTAACTTGGTTGAAATTTTGACGTCCACTACTCCAAATTTTACTTGATTATGGGGTGTAAATCGTCTACCCCAGGTGTAGTAAGGTGTAGGCAAATCAAGCGCGCCCATTAATGGTCCAATGGGCCGTAACAGCCGCATGTAATGTATACACAGTTATACTGTATCTATTTGTTGTCTATACAAATGTCACTATAATAAAATATTTATTACTAGCTTACATATGGCATCATGTTGTAAAGCATATAAATGTGGATAAACCTGTATTTATTTTTTCATAAACTTGAAAAAATCGGATAGACCAAGACTTTCTTTAAATAAATACACCAACTCTTCTTTGAAATTGTGGGTAAGACATGACAATGCCTTGAGTGTGAATCTACTGTACACTGATAACAAAGATGTTTTATATAACGCATAAATTTATACAAAACATGCAAATTAAGTATTTCAATTTTAAAACATTTCCTAAATAATTTATGTATAAAGATATATATAAAATAACATTTAAACAAAATATTTTGTCTCGATGTTTATGTCACATGTTAAACGAGACAAAAAAAAAATAATGTTCAAAAAATCAAATATGTATATTATTCAAATCGTAACCCTCGAGAGTAAGTAAGTTTTCACATTAAAAGAAAATAATCTTTTTAAACGAAATCTCTAATTTTGCTGATGAAAAACTAGTAGGAGGACAATAATGGATGTGGCCTGCAAAGGTTGAAAAAGAAATTTTCTATGTACATTGATAATTGCAACTGTCAAACATACTTTTATAACAATTGCTTTCTTTTACAGAAAAGGAAATTCCTTGACCAAGAAGAGGCTTCAACTGCTACTGGAAAAAAGGTACGGTGAATGATTTGTAAGCATTTTAAGGGGTTATAAAGAATGAGCTACATTTGGGTATATATTTTACTAATCCTAGTTACATGTATTAAAAGGCTAATACCAGACAAAAATTCAATGAGTAAGTGTTCTTAATCCCTAAAAACGTGCCTATTCTGACACTACATTGCTAGAAAAGGGCTGAACTAGAGCTTCAATATTGTTTAAAATTGATTAAAAAATTGAGGAAAAGGAATATAGCTAGTGTTACTACCTATTGCAATTTTTCCTGTCAACATGAAAGTGTTGATATATATACAGGTTATGTTGTGTAATTTATAAGAGGCATTGTAGGTTAATTCATTTTTTTCAAAAACAGTTTAAGATGTTGAGTTAAAAAATTGTACAAAACAGAAAATCTTCCTTTTATTAAATAATGATATTGAATTATTATATCAGGGTATATATTTGTACCTCAATGGGATTTTTTTTATTTCAGAAACAAAAGACTCATTCAGCACAACCTGTGAAGACTTCCCAGACATGTGATGTAAGACAATTTTTTTAACTTAGTAGCAGATCATTGAGTAGAATATGTTACATTCAATTGACACTGCAGAAAATGAAAATGCGTAAAATCATTAATGAAGTCAATCACTGTATCAGTGATAATGCACAAATCTATATTTGATAATTAAGAGGGTTGTAGTTGGAAGATCACGAGTCCTGCATTGACATTTTCATTAATACTTAAACTGAGCATATACAAGTAGACCTGGAGGATATGTCTGTTGCATTTATTAACTTGTACATATTCCAGAAAGTTTATTCACTTTACTATAAACAAAATGAGATTGTAATTCATTACATCACTGGTATTATTATGTTTCAGATGGTAACCATTGCTGTTGTTGAGTACAACAAAAAGGTGTATTTAGGAGAAATCGTTGATGGCGAAACAATTACCTTCGCCCAAAAACCATTGGGAAAATTGGACGCCCCAATCAATTGGAATCAGTTGGAGGAAAAAAGCTTCACTCTTAATCTTAAAGATAAGGCTAAACTCGACTCTAGATTTGTTGTTTGCACGATGGAATGTGCAAAGGAGAAGAACAGACTAGTGTTATGTGACAGTAATAAAAAAATAATTGACAGTAAAAAATCAACATTTTCAAATCAATAGCCATAACCCATTTTTGATCCCAAGATTAATCAGTTATTTTGGCAGCTCGTACATGTACATGTTGATTCAAACATATTAATTTGATGATTCCTAAAAATTCAACTTGGCACTAAATATTTTGGCTTGCAGTATTTCATTATCATTAATATTTCTTAACCATTGTTTTAATATTCGATGAATTCCCATGTCCAGCGTTGGTTTAAAGTTTCAGAAATATGTATTTTATTGATAAATATTTTTAAAAATCACATGCACTCTTGCTGAATTCACGAATATTATTCTTGTAATAGCATTTTAAGATAAATTTTTAAAGGAAAAATCAACATCATTTATATTTTTATCTCTGAATTTTTTTATCCTTCATACTTTTGTGAATTCAACCAAATAAAGCCGGTATATGTGATTCTAGTAATTATGATCAAGAATAATTAGATTTAATCTGTATTTTAACTGTAGGAAATTGTTGAATCATTAATTTCTATTTATTTATGTATTTAACCAACTGATTTAAAGTATTTTTAGTGGACTCGCAAGCTTTTCTCGGTGGATTACTTTTAATGAATTATTGCAAGTGATATAAAGTATTTTGGTGATTCCACCAACTTTGTTCGATGGAATTGTACCTAAATGTTATGTTGCATTTAGGTTTTTGCATGTTTTGGTGGTTCCACCAGCTTTGCTATGTGTAATATTTACACTATGTTTAAGCAATTGAAAAACAACTTTGTTCTGTGAAATATTTACCTTGCATAAATGCAATTGATATAAAGTATTTTTGGTGAATCCACCAGCTTGTTTCTTTGGATTAGTAGCCCTGACATTTACATTTGGTTTTTACGTTTTTTTGGTGGTTCAACCAGTTAGTTTTTCAACAACAAAAATTACATTGTATTTACGCAATTTATCTATAGAGTTTCTGGTGGTTCCACCAGCTTTGTTTGGCGTTATATTTGTATAATATTACAGCAACTGAAATAAATTTTTTTTTGGTGATTCCACCAGCTTCCTTCGGTGCAATATTTATGCTACATTTATACAATTGATATAAAGTATTTTTGGTGTTTCCACCAACTTTTTCTGTGGAATATGTACCCTGATGTGATGTTACATTAAGGTTTTTACATGTACATTTTTGGTGGTTCCACCAGCTATGTTAGCTGTAATATTTACATTGCATTTATTCGATTGAAGTGATTTATTTTTGGTGATTCCACCAGCTTTGTTTTGTGAAATATTTACATTGCATTGATGCAATTGATATAAAGTATTTTTGGTGTTTCCACCAACTTTTTCTGTGGAATATGTACCCTGATGTGATGTTACATTAAGGTTTTTACATGTACATTTTTGGTGGTTCCACCAGCTATGTTAGCTGTAATATTTACATTGCATTTATTCGATTGAAATGATTTATTTTTGGTGATTCCACCAGCTTTGTTTTGTGAAATATTTACATTGCAGTGATGCAATTGATATAAAGTATTTTTGGTGTTTCCACCAACTTTTTCTGTGGAATATGTACCCTGATGTGATGTTACATTAAGGTTTTTACATGTACATTTTTGGTGGTAACACCAGCTCTGTTAGCTGTAATATTTACATTGCATTTATTCGATTGAAATGATTTATTTTTGGTGATTCCACCAGCTTTGTTTTGTGAAATATTTACATTGCATTGATGCAATATTGACATTAAGTATTTTTGGTGACTCCACCAGCTTTTTTTGCTGGAATATTAATTCGGTGATTCCACCAGCTTTGTTTTGTGAAATATTTACATTGCATTGATGCAATATTGACATTAAGTATTTTTGGTGACTCCACCAGCTTTTTTTGCTGGAATATTAATTCTGATGTTATGTTTTATGTAGGTTTGTACCTTTATTAGTTTTCTTTAGAAACATGTTTCAGAAAAAAAATGTTATTCAGTGATTTTTGAAAATAATTTATTTTGGTGACTTTACCAATTCTTGTTTAGTGAATTCGCTTTTGTATATTTGGTGGACCCACCAAGATCATTTTTGATATTTTTTCGACCCAGAGAAAATGGTGTCTTCACCAACTTGTATTTGTGATATGGTATATGCAAATCTGTTTTTACGTGCAAAAATTGGTGGTTTCACCAATTTCTTGTCATGTCAAATACGAAATAGGAATAAAAAACATCTTCATTTCTGAAATTGTCCTGTATTCATTTTTCATATTGCACTGAAAAAAGAGGACACGATAGAGCGCAATGTAACAATGAATGATAAGTTACCTTTGCAAAATGGTGGATGATATCCTTCTTTACAACCGAGCGTATCACACCGCCCGGTTACGTCGCATTCAGCATTACACGTATCACATCGAGTACAATTTTCGCCATATCTACGACGCGGGCATCCTGTTATGAATGAGTTATTGTATAGAATCGTTATAATATTAACGTGGGACATAATTTTAGAATAGTTTAATGTTCTATTTAATTAATTTAGTTTAATGGTGTTTGCGTTTTAATCTCAATAATATAATGATACATGTACATGTAAGTAACGGTCAGAAAGTAAGATGATGATATTTTTGAGAAGGGTAATGTATTGTTAAAGTCAAAAGAACCTATATATTAATAAGGATAAAACAAAATTTATCAATCTTACTAGTATTTCAAAACATTACATACATAAGCAAAAGACCCACGACAATTCCCTTTTAATGCTGAACAAAAACTTTTTTAATTAAATAGACATAAGCATAAACAACATTTAAAGAATCAACTGCTACATTTTAGGAAATACTTATTCAGTTAAAAATTAATCTCAAATAAACATCGTAAAAGTATTTTCCTATTCTATGAGAGCGTCTGCTCTAGAGTCGCGAAGTAAGGAGTCAATCCTTACGTCGCGGGTTCGAATCCCACTGCGGGATGTGGAGACCGGTCCTTCGGATGAGACCGTGTAAACCGAGGCCCCGTGTCGCAGTAGGTGCTGGCACGAAAAAGATTCCTCACTGCTCAAAGGCCCTGAGTGCCGAGCATAGGACAAAATTTGTAGCCCTCCACCGGCAAGTGGTGGCGTCTCCATATGAGTGAAAAATTCTCGAGAGGGACGTTAAACAATATACAATCAATCAATCAATCCTATTCTATGAATTGAAAACTTGCACTTTTCTTATTTCTACTAAATTTTGCCAAATAGATCTTAGGTGTCTTGTCAGCTAGTGAACTGAGGATTTTCTCTTAGATTTGTATACTTTGAAAAACAGCAAGCCATACCGTAAATCTCCACTTCACAGATCTCCAGAAATACACCATTTCCGTCGTTCTTCTGATCATTGTAAATCGTTACATATCGCGCTAAACGTGTACAGTTTAATTCAAGTTCTGTATCAAGAGTCACATTTCCTGGATCCTTATAACATTGGTACCTCTTATCTACTATTGATGTGTATGGCTTCAGAACTGGCTCATAAGACGCAAGAATGGAAAATCCTTTGAGTCTTTTCGTGTTTTGGTCTTTTCCCCCTGAAAAAAACTAATTAATTTATTTGATGCTTCAAAAGAAAAGTCAATAACACATAGAACAATCTTATAAAATTGTATTTAAATACACATAAGCAGATTAAAAGAAAAATAATTAATCTCTCTCCCTTTAATTGCCTTAATGCACCGAAGGTTTATTATTTGTGGAATATTGTAAAAGCCTTGTTTTTGTTCCCTGTCTAATCTGTCTCAACATATTGAAAAGTTAAGTGAAAGATTATAGGTTCTTAAAATTTAATCAAACTGGTTAATAAATGTTACATCAAAATATAATCCGAGAGGATTTGTCATAAGTAATGCAAATTTAAAAAAAAAAGAAAAAAAGGTATAAAAGTATACGGGTGTGTTAAGAAAGAATTCGATTCATTTCTCGGGAACTTAATACAAAGTATTAATCAGGATTTTAATGAGCTTGTGGAGGCATGTATTTTTTTATATACTATGACATCGGATATAAGGCTGTGGCTGTACACATTGTCGTTCTGTTTATTTGTCGTCAGCGACAATTTGAACATACGTTCACTGTCTGCGACAATATGAACCGAGATAAGTGTTTTCCCTGCCCTCGTTATCAAAGATCTGGAGGTATATATTTTATGCCCAGTGCGTTTGCCCATCTGTCTGTATGTCTGTATGTCTGCCTGTCTGTGTTTATCTGTTTGCCTTCAAAGACTTAACCGATGTCCATATTTTGGATTGATTCTATCTGTTGCGCTTACATATCATATGCCGTTTTATTTGTAACAAGGCTTTTCTGGTACACACATTTTTTTTTACCTACAGACATTAATGTTGGACAATGACTCTTGAAAAGTTGGTTCTAAGGCTTCTCGAACATGAGTAAAAAGTCATAAGAGGGACGTTTAACAACAAACAGAAGAAAAACAAAATCAATTTTGTCAGATCAGGACTTCCATGGCTATGGCTGGGTTATTATGGATTTGATTTCAAAGTTTTATGATACAATTATTGCACGCCTTTTTATGAGATCGGTATACTGTCTTTAAGGTTTATATTTCAAGTGATTTTCCCGAATCAAAAGGCTACAACTGTTTTATTATATTTTTTTATCTTTTGATAAGAAATATCTTCAAATCAGTCTTTCTGATACTTAGTAGCCTGTCATATAAGGCATTTCTAAGTCATTTGAATTATGACGTCACAGTAATGAACACTAGCACATCCATCAAGTTTTAAAGACCACATGTATTTTGAAATAAACACTATTGCTTCTTCACAGAAGAACGTTTCCAATTTTAGAAACAGCATGTTTATGAATTTTTAAGATAGAAACATCCAGTTTATAACACTTTTTTTATACCTGATCATGTGATCTAGTTTGAGCCAATCAGATAGTATAAGACGATAAAGAATATAATGAATAAGATTACTTATAGAAAGACTTTTTAAGATAGTCTCAGGTAAAAAAAAAAATGAATTGATACGACAGATATCTTAGAATCGAGGGGGTTATCTCTCTCTCTCTCTCTCTCTCTCTCTCTCTCTCTCTCTCTCTCTCTCTCTCTCTCTCTCTCGTACATTTCTCTGTTCTATAGAAACTATGACAGCACATTACTTATTTAGTTTTGGAAATTTAATCTATTATATAATAATTTGAATGACTCTTTCCAACATCTTGACCGAGTATGATCACGGCCGGGAAATGTCTACAGATACATGAAGAAGTTAGCTAAAATAATCGTCATTAAAGAATACAAAAGCACATAGATATAGAATATTTTGCATTCGAATTAAAATAAAACGAGAATTTTCATGCAGTACGATAACAGTCAATGTCAACAGATAATTGTGAATTTGAAACAAAAAATCCGTTATTTTACTCAGAATCGCTTTGGCACGTACATTTGTAAAATTAATGTATTGTTGTTTCAACCGCGTACAATTTAATCAATTCATTCTAGAATTAGTATTTTTATCTTCAGAAGTGCACATTATTTCATAAGCATATTTACTTTATAAATAGATTAATTTTATATTTAATCTACTCGCTTTCGGAAACAAATACACATGTTTTTCGGCAAATAAAATCGTGTTATAAAAATATCGATTTATAACATAGGTAAATATTTGTATAGAACAAACATGTTTTTATTATTTATTTATCTATTGTTGATTTATATTTCAGCACCCGAAATTAGAATTATAGAATAATGGAATAATCTCAATGCAAGGAAAGGATCGGAGGCATTCTGAATAAATCGTTCATTTTGCGTTCACCGTTCGTTCACCGTTCACTTTGCGCTCGCGTTCGCGCTCCGTTCGCGTTCTGCGTTCACTGACCGTTCACCGTTCACAAATCGTTCGCCAAGTTGCGTTTACTGTTCGCACATCGTTAACCCACCGTTTGTTCTGCGTTTGTTCACCGTTCGTTCACCGTTCAGGTGGGAAAGTAAACCGTTTCAGGGACTGTACATCGTCAAGCTATTTCACGCACGTTAATTCGTAGAATTCCAATTTACTATACTATTTTAAATTTGCTAAAAATCAAAGCAGAATATAACCACACACATAACATCGACGAACACGATATGAAACATAAAACTCTTAAATTTTTTTTCAATATTCAAGCCCGCACTATTGAAAATAGTTCTCTAACAATATGCATTCAGCAGCGTACATGTATTTGCACTAATTTTTATATCACGATTATCCCAATAAAGCAAATGTCTAATTTCTTTTTAAGTTTAATTCTCAAGGAAAACTGTTGATTAACTGTTGTTTAACTTTTCCAACGATTAGGATGTTTAAAATATATGTTGAATATCGTCTCACAATGGAACTATTTTGTTTATCGGAAGCGTCTGTTTTTTTTTTTTTTGGTTTTGTTTACTGTTCTATTTATAGAAAGACAGTCGATCATGATGCCTATGGCCAGGACATTGCTTTCAGCAAAGCCCGGCTAAAAACAATAATATGTACTGTCAAAAAGGATATTCTTAAAACATTTAACAGCGGTGCAAAATGTTTTGGACGTTAAGAACCTTTCTTTTGAATAAAGATGTATATATTGAGAATATCTACTTAATTTCAATATTTGATACGTGGCATATATACCATGAGGTAAAAAATGTTCAAGCACAGCACATTATCCATGAAAAGAAATCACTGTTGTTTACTTTCTTAGAGAAAATACATGTAAACAACATATTCAATGAATTTATCTTCGCTTTTTATAATGTAAACAATACTTGATTAATTACGAATTTAGTAATGTACTGTATATTTCAATTAATCGGAATTTAGATTTAAGACAGATTGCTCTTACTGAAGAAAAAGAAAATATACCATAGACTCAGAACACCTTAGTTTGCAGTGTAAAGGAGGATTCTTCTACGAAAAAAAAATAAAGCTAGGTATTTTTTCCCCTTTAGCTTTTAACAAAGAAAATATAGGGAATATATTACTATTTATGTCCTGCCTGTACCATATCTTCACACTTTTCAAATTGAATAAGCCTCCAAGATCAATTTGTAACCAGGCTTCTGACCTTCCACCAACTGTGTGCATGCAATTTGTATACACTTGATCGAGATTTCCGTCAATTGTTTTGTCAGCAGACCCAGTGTAAGATCCATAATTATATGTGGAACTGCTGCTCACTATTGTACTCGCAGCATTTACAAGCTGGTCTTTGGAAAATAAAAAAAAACATTGATTTATGTTTAAAAAAAATTACATAACATAAAACCATTGATCTTTGTATGAAGAATATTAAGTATACTAATTTTATTCATTGTTAAAAGATATCTTAGCATTGTGTACATAAAAGAGCCATATTTTGCATATGTTGTTCTGTTTATGCGACAGATATGTTTATTTATTAAACACTGAAATGCAAACATTATAAACTCATGTATACATGTATGTATGTATGGCCTTTTAAATGTGTGAATTTCATTTTTAATTCCTCTCCATATAATATAATAATAAAAAGTGATATTTCCAAACGTTGCTGCTTTACAAATTACTATTTAAAAGTTTTGAGTTGATTGGTGGAAAAACTGATACCTACCATAACAAAAAGCAAAAGACAGGATATTAATCCAAACGTATAATAACCATGGATTACAAACGTAAAATCTCATACTTGATTAAATGCAATCGTAAAGAGCAAGCTACTTCATGTACATCTGTCGGATCGTTAATTGTTTTAATATCAAATCTTTTTTTTTTCTTTCCTTGTTTAATTTCATCCACTGAAGTTTTTTCGTTTAATTCACTTCCTTTTTAGAAGCTAAAAGGATGTCTTTTTTTTTAAAGATAATGACAACTTCATAACGCACACATCGTTATACTTGGACACCATTTGTATCTACGCCTATTTCATGTTCTTTTTAAAATCTTTTCTTAGACCAGGAAGAAAGAAGAAGGTACAGTTTTGGCTTCCTGGCGCCCTAAAAATTAAATGTTCTTAAAAAGTTATAAAATTGGCTTTATAAATAGTTGAGTAGATGAATATGATAAATCATTAAAGAATATGGCATGAAGGAGGACCATTCTGTAAATATAACGTCATTAATTTGGTACATTTCTAAGTTTAATGCAGAAAAGCCTCAGAATGACTCATTTCTGTGCTTATTTTCCTTTAGAAAATAGTGTCTACCACCGTCGCCCACGACAGTTTTTGGATATATTATTTAAAAGGCTTTGAAAAATCACATGTCTCAAAATCTGTGTGGGCGACGGTGGTAGAGTATGTTTTCTGAAAGAAAATTCCACTGAAAATTGATGTCTTCTGCAACTTTTACGAAAATACGGGAAAATGCACAAGTTAATGACGTCACAATTAGCAGTTAGGAGGTCATATGGGAAAAACGATTTGTGTATTCTTACTGCATGGAATTCCTATGATTCAGAGAGAAAAAAAATAATTTCTCATATCACTTTCATATAAAAGAAAAAATACAGGGCATAATTTGTATTGAAACTATACCTTCTTCTTTATTTTACTTCTGCTATAATATAAGCTAAGCACTACCATTAACGTTAAAAGAAAGGAAATGGGCCATTTTGTTGATGAATTTTAAAACACATGTCGTGTATCTATAGTCATCCGTCAAAATGCAGTTATTGAAATACACGTATTTGTAACAAAAATACTTTATGGCATATTATGCATATTTTAATATCATAGCAATCACATACTTGTTTGTTATTTATATCTAATTATTCCATTCCACTCGTAGAGAATTGTTCACTTCGTGAAGCTAGGATCTAAGATCTTTACCGCGACGATTTAGGGAGACGTGGAGGATTATTCTATGTATATTTTAAAAATGTTCATCGAATGTTCTTTTATTCGTATCTAATTGAAAAACTTAAAAACGGTGATTTAGCTTAAAAACACAGACTCTTGTTCAATATCATGTGGTACATGTAGTACACTATAACTCGTTTAGTACGAACACTGGTATTGCAAATCCATGGATATAGCTTGTCTTGGATCCCCAACGATATAAATTCAACTTAAGTGATTTTTTTGGGTAAGAAGGACCTTCAAAAAAGCTGAAAAAATATTTGTCCTTATTTTTTTTTAAAGACTTTGTACATGTATAATTTAGTATGCCCAAAATACCTTAAAGCAAATACATGAATAGGTTTCTAGACTTATTTCTGAGATATTGAATGATAAATGCTTTGTCCCACAGTGTCTGAGTGGAGTTTTGATTCTCCATGTTTCTAGACCCATTATTCAGTCCATAATGTTTTTTTTCAACATTAAATAAAGAATATGTCAGCGATGTCTTCTAAAATATTCAGAGTACGAAAAGGGTTAAAAATTCGAAAAGAGCAAGATTTTTTCGTTACATAACATCTGGAGATGGAAAAATTAAGTACTTTTTGAGACAACTTAAACAACAACAAAAAATATAATTTGCAAAAAATCCTATAATTTGATAGTTGAAAATATTGAATTTAAATGCAAAATCGTCATGTGTTTGATTAACTGTAATAAAATATCGATTGGTGAAACTGAGTTCAATTTTGCACAGGGCATAGTTAAACAAGACATGATTATGAGAAAAACATGTCATGTTTACATTTCTCAAGTACAGGACAACCCAACTATGACGTCACGCCTCTGCGAAATAAGCGAAATGAGACATACCTACAAAATATTTCCGTCAACAAGCACGTAAAAAAAAATTTTTTGTGTTCCCTAAATCACAAAATACCCCATCTTGTACTGATCATGACCCGTTCCTATGATAATCCACTTCCTGTGTTTTACCGTGTAAAATCTTACTGTACTAAGAGATCCACTATAACGTCATAGACTCCTTTGGCGCGCAGTGTAGGGAAACAGAACAGAGGATCAAACTATTCCGTAATGTGATGATATTTGCAAGAAAGTTTAAATCCTTTTAAATATTTTTTTTATTTATAAATTATGAACTCAAACAGTAAAAAATACAAGTACAGTGGTTTCAATCTTGTTTTGCACATATTTTATCAGAGATTATGATGCAATTAAACTGAGTCATGTGAACAAACATACTTTGTCACCCTAATTTAATTAAACTTTTCCTCTCTTTATTCTACTTGTATAACATTGGTTATTTGAATTTTTGGATATATAGCAATTTAAATTATATACAAAAATATATTTACTTTCATGCAACTGGTCTTAACTAGTTTTGTTTATTTCGCTCAAAATCATCAATTAACACAATATATGATATAAGGACAGCAGAAATCAAGCAAGAAAATAGGGGGAAATGAAAATGGTAAAATTTAACACAGAATGTCTTTTCATTTTCATTCATAGAGAAAAATAAAGAAAAATTAGCTAGTGAACGTGGGAAAAATAAACGGAAGAAGGAAGAGTAAAGAAGAAAGAATATCAAAGTCTGTCATCAAAATGATAATGAAATCAAGCATTATTATATTTAGTATGTTATCATCTCGGATGAGGAAGGATGTGGAAAAAAAAATAGGAGGATATTCCGAACATTAAGATAAAAAGACGCTAATATCTTCATAAAAAATACAGAAGTTTTAAAATGTTTAAAAATTATCCAAGCTATCTAAATATTACAATAACAGAGGTTTCAATTCGAATCATTACTTAAGAAGACTACGAAAATAATAACACGTTAACTAGAATGTAGAAAGTTTGAGTAATTAATATATTAGTATTTGACAAGAAGGTTGATATTTTGCAGGGATTCTTGTTTGAAAATGATTAAGCACTTGCTAAATCTTTTTGCTTCACAGTAAAAGTGGGGATCAGCAAACAGTATGATTAGAAAAATGTCTTTTCAGTTGTCTTAGTATATTTGCAATCCAGGGAGACAAACTGACTCGGATGGTTATTACACATAACTTTTATGAACATTTTTACAAAATAGGAAAAAGAGATTTGTTTTGAAAGTTTGATTCATTGTATCTTTATATATCACTATCTTATATTCTACTAATTTAAGTTCTAAGAATGACACAAGATATTTTGATGTTGATTTCTTAATCTTTGAAGCATTCCAATTTTGTTTGGTAAAACAAGTGTTGTTTCAAAACCTTATCCTTAGTTAATCTACAGGAATAATTTTTTCTTCATGAAAAATTGTAGTATTCATTGTATTAATATGAATATTATTAAGAATTAGCAATTTACAAACACCACATCTCATCATTAAAAGTGTCTATGAAAGTGGTTGTACTTTACGCACAGGAAGATGTACTCTTAAGATGTCATTGTAAAGTAAGTAAATGATATAAAGTCGGTTTAGATAAGTGCCCACAGACGTAGTATTGTCACATTTGGTATAGTAAATCTTCCATTTTTAATATTTGCATGTACATGTATAAAAAGCTGTCTATTGTTCGGTTGCACAAATAAACAAAAGCTTTCTGTCTTTTAATATTGTTGTATTGTCTATTGTAGTGGAAATTTCACAAAGTTTCAAAAAAATATTCAAGAATTGAATCTCTATCCAATGCCTACCTAGAATGTCTTAAAATTTCAAAGCGTCGACCCAAAAAAATAATCAGATAGTCCTACATTAAACCAAGCTTTGTACTTCAATATTCCATATTTTTATTTTGAAAATCATTGTTTAGATTAAGGGAGAAATGAAAATGAACCTATGGTTCCCGTCCTTAAAATCAATCGCTTATTAAAATCGGAAATTGATAGAGCAGTTACATTGTTATACCCATTTATCTGCGTAGTTTTCAAATATATCGTCATTATTTATTTTTGTCTTTTGAATTATGCCCTGCATCAATCATCATTTGAATTGGTATATTAAAATAATTGCCTGAACTACGTATCTGAAGTAGAATAATGATAACAAACAAGTTGCTGTCCTTTAAAAAAGGACTACAATACGTGGACCATATGCATGTGTTTCTAAACGAAATTAAATTCTTGAACGACAATTTCTATATAGGTTTAGTGAACATTCATGTAGGTTCGTTCACATTTTCTGTTACGATCTGCCTACTTTGACTGATAGTACTTACATATAGCAAAATTGTTAAATGATATCTCCCATAGGCCTATTTAGTTCACAGGTGCTTGGGGTCGGGACCCCCCCCCCCCTCTTACGTCTTCCCTACTCCAAGAAATCTTTGACTTTTTCTGATTAAAATATTTTTCTATGACATACAATGTATTCACAAAGTATTGTTACTAAAAAATTCAAATTTTAAGTTATACTAGCCTGATATAAAAAACCCATACCCTCTGATACTAAAACAATTATGAAGCTTGAAAATTAAATATTTTCATGCAACAATTTTCATTATATGGCTCTCAATGTGCTTCAAGGTTCTTTGCAAAGCTCCATAAATCACTTCTAATTTCATATCATGCATGTTAATAAACATTGATATCTAAAAATGCTATTAAGGGATAAAAAAATTCTACTTTTAATTAGATTTTTCTGGGACGTTCAAAGAACCTTGAAACACATTGATAGGCATATAATGAAAATTGCTGCAATGAAAACATTTAATTTTCATGCTTCATTTAAAGACTTTTTGAATTAAATTATAAATTAAAGAGTTGTCCTTTCTGGCTGAGGGTCGGAGTCCCTTAAAAACGAGATTTGCCGATGGACATGGTATATTCCAATTTGAATAGGGCGAATTATTCTACGGGAAAACTGTCTTAGGGGAGGGGCGCGAACTCTCCCAATCGCAAATTCTCGGGCCTTTCCGACTTGCGGAAGTTGTTTTTCCGACCTCTCACG